TCATAACTTAAAAAATTTGATGTAACTGATTACAGTGCAGTATATTGTTAATTTTACTGCAATAAACCATATTTTCATATGTTTTTAACTGTGAAATGTAAGGTCTTACTCTGTAAAACTAATTACGGTTTTTCACTGTAAATTCTAAGGTTATCGCATGTTTTGTGGAATATGGTTTTATCCGGTAGCATTTATACGGTATTTTATTGTTAAATCTACGGACATTTTTTACAGTATAGTCAACAAACTGTGTAAATAACCTGAATTTATGATGGTCTTTGACAGGAAGCTCAAAATCAGCATTTTCCCAAACACATTTTGACAGTGAGGCACACACTAGCCTGGAGTATAAGAACAGCAACAATAGACCTTAAAAAGATGCAAAATATGGTTTGTTTCCACCAACACGGAGTCAATGCTGGCGCCGATGCTGGGCAGGTTCTTGCTTGGTGCATTTTGAGAAGCTGCCAGTGTTTCCACCAATTTCAAAATAAGAATGGAACAGAAATGTTATGAATGCGGAGGTGAGAGTAAAGTTAAGGTTCATGTGAATTCAGTTTCTTTTTTAAATTTTGATCTGTTTTGGATTTTGAGTTTTTATAAGCTACCGAACTGCAAAAAAAATTTTCAGAGCATGACTTGTTGCGCTCTGTCTCTACTGCCTGTGTCCACTTTTGTTTCCCCCATGGCCCCCCTAAATACATGTTATTTGGGTCTCAAATAAATTCATAATAATAATTATTATTTTTATTATTATTATTTACCTTTAAATATGTAGACTAAAATTTTGTGCACTGGGAACAGGTAAAACAGAAATGTAAGCACATTTTTTTTGCCGGACTCTTAACGTGGGAATGCTGGGTGAGCAACATGCTTCAGTTGGTGAAAAGCAAAGTTAACATCAGAAAAAAAAATCAGGTTTCTTGAAGCAAGACAGTCTCATCAAGAAATCAAAATGAGTTACATATTTGTAAAAAACGCAAAATGTGACTGCAAATCATTGCATTACATCAGTTTTTTCAAAATTGCCTTTTGCTTCTTAATGCTGGTAATCTAGCGTAAGTAATTACTGGAGGACATTAAAATGAAATGCATCTGCCACCCCAACAGAACAACTGGCACTACTCTGGCCCCCCGTCTAGCCTCCTGAGACCCCACCCATTCATTTATGTCCATTTTAGTGGACATTTTGTTTTTGCATCTATCTTTTAACTGATGTAAGGAAACATATTTATTCCTGTTCAACACTAAAGAGGACATGCTGTGAAATTTAAAATAAAAATAAATTTGAAAAAATCTAAATTGTAAGATGTCTTATTTCCTCCAAAGACAAATAACCTAAATTTGAAGGACTTTTTTTCCTTGGGTCTCAGGAGGCTAGAACTGCCACTGTCATGATCTCATTGCTACTCGAGCGCCACAATATTTTATTTGACCTGCAACATGTTTATAATTTGTTATTAAATCTGGTCAGCAGATGGATCTTTCGTTTCTATAAATAAAAAAAAGATGTAACGTTATTCTTCTAATAATTAACCAAGATGTTTCATGTTGCACTGGTGATGTTAGACAAAACTATATCAGTTATGGACTAAATTTTCTGGGTATGTGGAAGGTTCGGACACAATAGACCGACCCACTTTCGCTGACGTTACGGTTCCAAATTCTGAGACCAGCTTTTTTGCAGTACCATGTTAGAGCCGTTTTTCTGGCCCAGGGTTAGTTTTTTGTGGTGCAACCAGTTCTGGATTGGCACCGGCACTGTGTTGGTGGAAACGAGAGTGTTTATCTTATGTCCATGCTTAAATTACCGATGCAATGTAAAAAATATTTTCTCCTTCCAATTAAAAACTCTTACGTAATTGATTACAATAGCACTTTTGAGTTTGTCAAAAACTTTAATGACTAATTGAAGTATTCACATCTAAAACAGAAGGAAATGCTGTATGATAAAATCAAACTGGTACAATATGTCAGCACCATATGTAATTGTCACACATAAAGAACTATACTGGACATCAAACAACTAAAACACAAACATAGGTCCCAGACTATTGTCCAGTCTTTCTTAATGGATATACAGCAGTGTGCAGGTCAGCCTGCTTTTTTTAAGCGTTATGCTGAGAATTGAAATTTTAAATGCAATTTTCAATTCATTAACTTTAAATTCCAGCTCACAGGAGATCAAGTCTTTGTACAGAAGTCCTCATCCTTTTACCTCAGATGCAATTTATATAGAATACAGACTAAACTTAAATTCTTAAAGACAATTGGATTTGTGAAAGTTCAAAAACAATGCATTAATTATAAAATGACTTTTCTTCTTTGTATTTGCCTGCATGCCTTTTGGCTGAGAGTCTGAGTGTTTCCTTAAATGCATATTTACCTTTGATCTGTAGGGAAAGATTCCTTTCTGAATTCGAGTGGGGGCCTCATCGACTTGTCACTCTTCATGGAAACACAGCTGGGTGCAGGTGAGTCTGCTCTCTCCATCAGGACACTGTGGATGGTGAGAGGAAACAAATCCTCATTATATAAATATAATTCATACAATGTGAGCAGTATCATGTTACATCTTCAGTTGCTTAACCTGCTGTGAAGCTCTTTATGCAAACAGGTTTGTTTATAGTTAGATTTCATGTGAAATAAACTGTGTGAACTAAAATTAAGATTCCTACAGTATATGAAAGGTTTGGTTATCACTGTTACAGCCTCCATCACTAGATTTGGCTGTTGTTTCTTTTTTCAAGTTTGTATATTTATTTGTTCTCTACCATTTAACGATATGTGGTGATTTTGGGTAGGAGGAATGATGTGATGGTTGCCTCTAAAATAGCAGAACTGGGTGATTTTGGAGCAAAGGGGAAAGAAAGGAAATGCTGAGGTATTTTATTATTAAACTATAAATATTAATGTGCCCCCCAGCCTTAGCTAGGAACCCTGTTTACTTTTACCTTATGGCCTAACTATAGACCCACAGAGACATGCATGCTAGTGGCTGTAACACTGTTACCTCTCAGGCCCCTTTGATTTACACCCCAAAGGGGGGGTCATTTCAGACACAGCTCCTCTCTCCTTACACCCCACAGGGGGGGTCATTTCAGAAGCAGCTCCTCTCTCCTTATATCCCACAGGGGGGCTCATTTCAGAAGCAGGTTCTTCCATTTTTTGGTGTTGATACAGAGCAGATGATTCCTGCTGAGACCTCTGTGAACATGAAAGAAACACATACAGAAAAAATCTGTTAAATGACAGTCTTATAATGAGGCTTTTCCTGTTAAACAATGCCAGTGGTGGCCTAATGGTTATGGATGTTCATTTGTGATTGGAAGGCTATTGGTTCAAATCTCCCACCATCAAAGTACCCCGAATATGATACCGTCCTCATGTACTGCTTCCAGCGTGGTAAATAATGGCTGTTCCCTGCTGTGTTGCATATAGGTTAAATGCAAAGGACACATTCTATCATGGCATGTTTGGTCTTTTTCAGTGAAACTCAAAGGAATTCGATGCACATGATATGATAACTGGAGGTAAATCTTACTGAAAGAACAGGTTTAATAGCATAATTGTCATACTAATTCAATGTTGAAGTTACTGGTTTAAACTGTTCTTTATATATTTTTATACTGTTAAATTCACACATTGCTCCATAATGGTGATTACAGTTTTGCCATATTTTTTACAGAATTATTTTGGCAACTACAGCGTGCCAGTTTTTTTCTGTTTTTTTTTTACAAAAAAGAGTTCTGACCTGCTGAATCACAGACCTCACGCAGACCAGCTACACCAGAGGTCTCCAACTCCAGTCCCAGAGAGGTACTATCCAGTAGGTTCTCTGTCCTACACTGTAAAACCTGACTAGTTAGTTCAACTCAAACTGTTTGAGAAAACCAATTGCCTTAAATCATTTAAGTTTATGAACTCAAACAATTAAAGTAAAAATATTTTTTGTATTGATTAAAAGTAGCTTAATTATTCATAATTTAAGCAACTTAGTTAAATCAAGTTAAGAGCATCAGCTGCATTCATTAGTTTGATTTAAATGACTTGAGTAACAATAACTTAAATGCATCCTCCTTATGTAAATGCTACTATTTAAGTTTTATTTACTCAGTTTTCTTCCTTTAAGATTTATTATTACATTCTAGTTAACCTAGTTGTGGCTACTCAGTCCATTTAAAGAAACTCATTGCCTTGAACCTTACACAGCAAATGTGCCAGTGTTAAATTAACACTGCATGGTGTTTTAATGGGTCCACATTGAGTGTTAACTTTAACACTTTACAGTGTGCAGTGAGTTTTGTTTTTACAGTGTTAATCTTTATTAACTCCAATAGTGTTCAATTTACACCATAGGGTGTTGTCAATGAGTCTCCACCTCCACATATCTGCCCCATTTTAATATGCGCACAAGAAGTCATGAGGATCAGAAGAGCCAGCCCAGATTTATCCACCATCATGAGAAAGACTCTGACCAAAAAGGACCTTACAGCTTTTTATTATTTTATTTTGAAGCTTTGTTGATTAAGTACTAAGTGATGTTGAAGATTCGAGCGCTGTGTACCTGGTGTTGTTTTTCCTGGTATGTGAATTTATAGGATGCTGACGTCAAGTTAGAAGAAAACCTCTTGGAGATTTATGGGACTCATCCCCTGAGTGGTTTATATTTTAATGGTGTTGGGCTGTGTTTGATTGCCAGTCCTGTCCTGGGATGATTAACATAAGTCTGTAAAAGTGTTATAGTTGTCATACCCTTTTCTGTGCAGCTCCAGGTACTGCCCACTCCCCTGTTGACCAATGGTGCTGGATGTATATTTGCATAGCATGACACAGTACAGTTTTTGACTTAATTGTTTTTGTTTTTTAACCCACCGCATTTGTGATGAATGGCTTTTGCATGCTAGCCAGTGACTAGGCATAATGGTTCATTCTCTGTAGTTTAACTAGAGAAGGTGTTAGCTTTTTCTCAGTGTATACTCTCTATGAAAAACATTCAGACCATATAATACTTCCACAACCGAGAAAATTTCTTTGGGAATGCACATATACAAGAACTACACTACTCAGACCAACTACCATCCGTAAACCCAGAAAATTTAATACTAAAACATGGTACAGACTAATATCAGTGCCATACCAGCCTCGCTCGTGGTGGGTTTCAAAAATTAAGCTTAATAAAAATCTGAATATTAAATAAGCAAGGTGATTTGATTTGTTCTCCTATCCCAAGTTGTGGTCTAAAAGCAATAAGGCCACCACCCATTATATCTGCTTTAGCGGAAATGCACTCCTTCAACCATTAAGATAGCTCTCACCTTTTTTCAGCACTGCTAAATAATTATATTATGCAGTCTAACAAAGTCTAGCTACATAATCTGCGTTTGGTGACTGGTGCCATATTCTTCACTCACTTCAATACCACAGGCAGTTCTCAGGAGAGCTTTATTGGTGCTTTCTTACTCTGCTTGAAGAAAGCTATCGCATTCATGCTTAAATAAATATAATTATAACAACAGCTTTTCAATGCTCTCTAAATGACATAAACACAGCTCTGTGGTTATCAAGAACCAAATTAAAAGCTTGCATAAAAAGAGAAAAGGCTATGTTGGTCTGAGTCTTTCTTATTATGGTGGGTTAGTAAAACACAGCAGCTGAATGCCCAAATGAGTTCAAATGAGAGTACATTAAAATGGGGCAGATATGGGCCACCCATTTTGTACTTGTGTGCAGAGGCGATCCTAGGGTCTGTTGGGGCCCCAAGCAAAAATTCACTGGGGGCCCCCCGTCTAACCAGTTTTTGTCATCATTTTAATAAATAATCTGACATTAACAAAAAATTGTGAACAGTAAACTTTTTTTATTTCACAAGTTACCATTTTCAACAAGTTAATGGACTTTAAAATATGAAACCATTTTAAAGTTTGTAAAAACTGTAGGATGAATAGCAGATAGCAAAATAATTTAAAACAAAACCAACCTTTGTAAATTGTTTTGATAACTGATAATAATGTACACGATTTGCAGGTTAATAAATTCTCTGATAAAGTTCAAAGGAATGAACGTTCAAAACGTAATTGCCACTACCGTAGTTTAAAGTGTCAGCTCTCGTTCGCCATCTAGTGGCTTGGGGGCCCCAAGCAGCTGCCTGCCCTGCCTGCTGACAAGATGCGCCTCTGCTTGTGTGTCACCCATATCGGCTTGCAAGTTGGGAAGTGGTGGAGACACATTGTCTTAACACTCTATGTTGTAAATTGAACACTATAAGAGTTAATAAATACTGTAAATAAATACTGCAAAAACAACACTCACTGCACACTGTAAAGTGTTAAACGCAACACTGAATGGTGTGGACCCATATAGACACCATGCAGTGTTAATTTAACACTGGCACATTTGCTGTGCAGAATGTGCACCTTATATTTTGAATGTGCCCCAGTAAAATGGGTCTGGCCACGCCGATGATCCAGCATGACTTCACATCAGACCGAAATACGTTTGTCTGATATTTTGCACATTTTTTCACAACATTGCAGTTTGTTTTCCCACACGCAGACTCCGTCCACATCATGCAACGTCCACGCTAACTGTATGCTGATTAATTATGTGTGGGTTGAGTAATCAGTTAAATGATTACAGACAAGACTATTAAATTAATATAATTTTAAAGGAACATAATTATTTGGACTGATTCATTATTTTAGTAGTGATCATAAAGTCAACTCAGAGGAAAAGAATTACTGCAACAAACTGGAATTATATCACCCCAACTTAAAAATCTAAGTACACTCAAAAGAACTGAGTTACTACTCCAACAATTAATTTTTGAGTAAAGTCAAATTGAGTGAATACAACTTTCAGGAAAAATTAAGTTATATTAACTTACTTCTATCATTAAGAAGTACTATTAGGTTTTACAGTGTACCTGGCTTCTGATGAGCCACAACTGTTCTCAGGTAAATTCCTCCAAACCTGTTATACCTGAAATACCTGTTCCTGGTATTTACTTCAGAACAGGTGTGGCTCATCAGAAGCCAGGCAGGATAGAGAACCTACTGGATAGTAGCTCTCCAGCACAGGAGCTGGAAACCTTAGGCTAGAGCAGGGGTATTCAACTAAAATTTAAAGAGGTCCAGTTAGAGAAAACTTCTTGAAGCAAAGGTCCGGAAGATCATAATGTCTAACTATTTAGTGTGATCTATATTTAAGTAGCCTATTAGTTGTACCAACATTGCATGTAATCAGTACCTGACTGTCAAACCAAATTAATCCAGTACAATTCAAAAACGTTTTGACAATATTTATTGTCACGTGACAAAGAACTTCGGGCAGCTGGCTGGAGAGAGATGGTTAATTCGAGATGTCTGCACACACATGTAACAGTTCTTATACCTTGTAAATAGTCTGCTTTTGTATTTAACCGTGTAAATACACTTTTGACGCAGCTAATTTTAAGTTTTATAATATAGATTTGCCGTAAGATTTCCAGGGTGAGTCTGAATTGAGATTTTCTTGAGATTTGGCAGCCATGAAAATGTATAATTGTTGTTTCACCCGAGTTTATTTATATAACAGATAACATTACTTTATACATATGTTAAAAAACAGAAACTTCAACGAACATGAAATCAACCATAAACTACGTCTATTTATCCAATATGTTATATAATACATACTGTATTTGAAAACTGTTCATCTTTACGATTTCAGGACAGACCAGTCACTCTGTTAGGAACATTACGGCTTTTTCGTTGTGGTTTTAGCTTCGATGCTACTACTAACACTAACGGCACATTAGCGCAGACATAGGGCTGCATACGCCGAACTACATCTTGCTTGGCTTTCAAAGGCGTTTGACGTTCATTGGCGTGGGAAACGGCGGCTCTACTGCTAAACCACTACCGAAAAGACTACAAACGCTGCGCCGGTTAAAATAGAAGGCTTTAAATAATAACTTAATGTTTTGGCTATCGGTCCGGGTCCGTATGTGACAGCTCCTGGGTCCGGACCCGGCCCGCGGTCCGCCTGTTAGTGACCTCTGGGCTAGAGGCTGGAACCCGGGTTCTTCGGCACGCTAGCTGTTATCGCCAACTTTTATTATTATTATTATTATTATTATTATTATTAATAATAATAATAAAAAAATTGGTGTTGTGTGCACAAGTTAATTATCATGTGGGAACAAGATAACTTGTGCACAAAAGATAATTTACTATAAATTCATATGCATCTCTTACAACTTCAGATACATATACAGAGACCATATAGCCTAATAGGTAGAATACATTTTGTGCACAGCATGGATATCAGCACCTTGCATTTCGTGTACAGAAGAAAGTAATTTCATTCACAAAATGCACTTTATCATCTAACTAAATTCATTTTGTGTACAAAATGCATTTCCTGAGTGAAAGAAAGTCATTTTGTGGACGAAATACACTTTGTGAACTACGTAAATTAATTTTGCTTACAAAATGCATTTCCTGAGTGAACGGAAATCATTTTGGTGACATGGATGTCATGAATGTTCGTGGACGAAATTGATTCTGTGGAATCACGCAATGTTTTTGTGTTACGACTAAATGCATTTAGGTTTTTTGTTGAATCAGCAAAGGCACCACGGAACGCATTTCTTTCACAAAATAATTTCGTCATGAAATAATGTTTTTTGTGGTACAAAATGCTTTTTATATAGTACATGAAAACGAGCGCTTAACACTTAATTGGCGCCCCATACAAGACCAGCGAGAATTTCATTGCCTGGCGTTGCAATGTGAAAATAAAACTTGATTCGCTTACATGGTGTCTGAGTTTATCTGAAGTCGAATTTATAGTAAATTATCTTGTGCTCACAAGTTATCTTGTTCCATCAAGATAAATAACTTTTGCGCACAAGATAAAAAAAATCACCCTATGGAACTTTAGGGGCTCCTTGCCATCCAGCTTCAAAATACTATCTTGTTAATTCTTGTAGTGTCCCACGCTCCATGTTTTGGCAACACTGTATTTAAGGCGAACTCATATTTGGGCTTCAGTTATTAAATATAAGTCTATATAAACGTGTTAATTCACTTAACATTCGACAAAATATGACATTTATTCCATGCACTTAGTTACAGTGTATCGAACTACAATAAACATCTAGTTATGCTGGGAAGTATTAAACCCCCATATATATAACTGGTCTCTGATGGCCACCCTAATCAAAAATAATTGCCGACGTCTCAGGTAAAACACTTATTTTAGTATTAGATGTATCTGTTAACTATAATCTTACCTTGCAATGCAAATACCTTTATATTATTCCAGAATCTTATTTGTGTTCCTTGCTGAAATGGTGACTCTGGCTTTAAATCTTTCACTTTCATTTACAGATAGGGAATTATAGCTTCGTACTACGGTGGGGGTGTGGAAAGTACCTGCCCTCCGGTAACTGACGATCGAGCTGAATGTTTTCAGGAATGTCTTAAAGGATACTGAGACAGACTGGGGGAGGGGGGTTTCGGGACGGTGTGGAATAGGAAGCGTGAGTGTTTAACACAGCGTTCCTTTTTCACTGGCTGAAAGTGGGGGACGAGTTGTGCCCGTCGCCGATATTAGTTCGGTCGCCGGTGAAGGCATTGAGGAGAACGGGGGGTAAATGTGTAGGAAGATGGGGCTCCGTGTTGTCGGTAACACTGGCAGCAGGGCGGGTCGATCTTTGACGCGAGTCGTATTACAAGCAGGTCGTATACCAAGCAAAATTTTTCGCATCCAAAAGCTGGACTTATTCCAAAGCGGACGTATACCGAGATACCACTGCACTGAAAAAAATGCAACATCCCAGATAGCAAAATCAGATTGAATCAACATTGAAATGCCGTCAGCAAGAAACATTCACAGCAAATTTGCCAGTGTTAAATTAACACTGCATGGTGTTTATATAATTCTCACCAAATCAGTGTTACATTTAACACTTTACAGAGTTCAATGAGTGTTGTTTTATAGTGTTTCATTTAATTAGCTCTTATATGGCCAGTTTCCCAGTCAAGGATTAAGCCTAAGCCTAGACTAGCTTTGAATTACAATGGTGAATCTCCATTGAAACGGCAATTTAGTCCAAGACTAGTCTTAATCCTAGTTCGGGAAACCGGCCCATAATAGTGTTCTATTTGATACTACAGCGTGTTAGATTACTGTAACTCCACCTCTTCCCAGATTCCAAGCCCATGTAGGTGGCACCCAGGTAAATAATGGGTGGCCCCTATCTGCCCAATTTTAATGTGCACACAAGAACTCATATGAGACTCATAAGAGCCACCCTGATTTACCAACCATCATGAGAAAGACTCTGACCAAGAAGGACCACCCAGCCTTTCTTGTTATATGCTAAATTTTTCTTGTTTCAGTACTGATTTCTTTTTGAAGATCGAAGAGCTGTGTGTTACGATGTTAGACAAAGCTTTGCTTTTCATGGCTTTTTCTTGCATATGATTTTTGAGTTAGATAAAAGCTGTGTTTGTGTATATTATAATGGTGGATGTGGTATATTTGTTAATATAAGCTGATTTTGCTTACCCGTTCTATGGGTTTTATATATGGAAATGTGTTATGTGCTACTATGCTGCTCCTGGTACCGCCCACTTCCCTGTAAACCAATAATGTTGGATGTTTATTTGCATACCATGATATTGTACAGCCATTTAAGAGATTTCTGGGTTTTTTTATCCACCATGATGGTGTTGAATAAGGCAAGTATAAGAAACCTTAGTAAGCTCTAAGAATCTAAACAATCAGAGAAATGGAATTTTCTTGAGCCTGTTTGAGAGTGATTGGTGCTTTCCAGTGCAGCTTCCTGGAGCCTGTTTGAGAATGATTGGTGCTTTCCGGTGCAGCTTCCTGGAGCCTGTTTGAGAATGATTGGTGCTTTCCGGTGCAGCTTCCTGGAGCCTGTTTGAGAGTGATTGGTGCTTTCTGCTGCAGCTTTCTGGAGCCTGAAAGATAAGGCAAATATTAAGAGATGTGGAATCTAAAACAATCAAGCTAAATTATTTTCCAGGAAAAATGTCACATTGCATGTATTTAAAATAGAAACAAACAAATCTCACACCTACCATAGTCACTACACTAACCACCTGGCATACATCAACTAAAGCATAGGCAAAGGCCGGGATTCATAATGTCAAAATGTGATAGAGACTAATATCCATGACATACCATCCTAGAACACGGTGTGTTCTAAAATTTAAGCCCAATTAAAATATGAATATTAAATGAGCAAAATAATTTGATTTGTTCTTCTATCCCAAGTCGTGGTCTAAAAGCTATAAGGCCACCACCCATTATATCTGCTTTAGGGAAAATGCACTCCTGTAGCCACTAGGGGAGCTCTCACCTTCTCTCAGCCCTGCTAAATAATTATATTATGCATTCTAACAAGTTTTATTATCTGTGTCAATAAGCACTGCTTTTACACTACCACTCCCGCTGAGAGGCTAGTTTGATTACCAGTCTTGGCCTTCTCATTAGGAACACATGACAACTTGCACAGTGCTCTCTCACTGGTTTTCCCCAAGACTGGTACCATACATTTTATTCAGTTTCATACCACAGGAAATCGCGAGAGGGCTCAATTGGTTTACTTTCGTACTGGTACAATAAAACTATTTTATAAGTTAAAAAAAAACAAATAATAAAATTTGAAGACATTATTCCACTAACTCAATCCCAACTTTAATGCATAAGCAAAGTAAGAGTCAGAAAGAAGAACCGTGTTCAGCTTGCAAAAACACAATAGGTTGGTCTTCTGAAAAATCAAAGCTGAACATGTAAAGTTTACATAACAGGTGACAAGGCTTTGTTGGTCATAGTCTTTCTTATGATGGTGGGTTAATCAAACACAGTAGCTGGCTGCCCCAGACATAAGCCACCCATTATTTACTTGGGTGCCACCTATATGGGCTTGGAATCTGGGAAGAGGTGGAGTTTCAGTACTTTAACACTCTATGGTGTCAACTGAACACTATAAGAGCTAATAAAATTTAATACTATACAAAAACACTAATTGCAGTGTTAAATGTAACACTCATTTGGTGAGAATTATATAAACACCATGCAGTGTTAATTTAACACTGGCAAATTTGCTGTGTTGAATCTACGTTGATATCCGACATTGAAACCAAATTGAAAGCGCTCGTTATGATTTACGTCGAATCAACGTTGGATTTTAAACCATATCTGACTCTAAATCAACATTGATTCAACCACAATCTAAAGCCCCTCTGCCGCAGGGTTTTAGTTGATTTCATATTGAAACAATGTTAGCTTTCAATATTGATTCAACCATTATCTAAAGCCAGTCTTCAGCTGTTTTAATTGATTTAATATTGAAACTCTTTGTGATCAATATTCATTCAAACATCAGTAGTTTTGCTGAAATACATCTGAACATACTGTACCTTATCTGAAACTAAGAAAAGCAACATTCCTACTATACTGTACTACATGAAAGACACTGCAGACTTCAAGTATTTCTCACATACAACAACATAGTATTCTTAAATCACCTTTTGCAAATATGTGTAATGAAAAAGCATACATGTAAAATGATAGAATATATTAACTTTTATTCAAAGAAGTATGCAACAGAAAATACATTGCTTCACACATTCAGCTGTGTGCGTGTGCAAGGACCTAGACAAGGACCATCAAGCTTTTAGAAATTTAAGTATAGTAGTGAAAATGATTAATTTAAATTTATACATACATCAAACAGGAACATTGTAGTCACAGCAACACATCACAGATACCTAGACCACCCCACAATAATTCAGTTCGCTGAACTTTGTTTTGTTCGTCTGATGCCCCCCTGTCGTTCTGGAGCATAACGCAGCCATTTTTTCACCGTGTCGCTGAAGGCCAGGTGAGACAGTTTCTTGTCAAATTGCCGAGCAGCAGCTGAAACATATATTAATAAAAAAATAGGATAGATGACAGGAGAAAAAACTTGAATGTCGCGCGATCTACCCGCACTACCTTCGCGATCTACTGGCAGATCGCGATTGAAGTCAAGGGGGGCGGGATGTGGCGCGCAGTGACAGATGCCCTGAAAGCAGAAGCACTGAAAGCAGACATGACCTGACTGAATTTTGACTGGTGCAGAAGCAACCTTGTCTAAATTCTATAATGAAGCAGACTTGCGTGCCAGGGCGTTAATTGTTTGCTAACTTGGCCAAGACGCCCTGTTAAAGTACCCATTTTCTTACCTCCAACAACTGTAATGGACCTATTAAAGTTTGTAATGGACAGAAAAACATTGTTGGCCATGAGAGTAATTGTCTTGTAAGTGTGTGTAACTGTTCTGTTAAATAAACCCCCGTGTACGTCCACTACGCGTGTCCGTAGTTTTCTATGCAAGACCGGATTCGCCATTGACGACACCGGCTGGCTGTAAAGTGCGCGTCAACCGGGCTAGTCTCCAGGAGCATCTCGGCCCCAATAA